ACTGCATAATCAACAAGTAAATTAATAAGTCATTTAGTCAATAACTATGCCTAGTTTAGTTCATTGAAACAAAGTTCCCAAACCCAAGCAAAAAGCTGCTGCAATGCAGCACAGAAAGCTGTTCACAAAATTAAAAACACATTTCGAAAAAGCACACAAACCTCAAAAGAACATTTTGCTAAAGCTTATAGAGCACAATAAGGAGGAAGGAGAGCAAGAGGCACTTTACTTCTTCTCTGTGTTGCTTCCCAATTCTTTTCTCAATTGGAGGGAGAAATCATCATTTGACATCATCATCATCCCAATCATCTTCCCACTACTGCAGGACTTCCTTTCCTTCTTCATTATCATCCCACTCTGCAAATTAATAATGTCATATGCTAAACTCCAAAATGTGAAACATAAGCTTGGTGAGACATACAAGTAATCATTATTTTGTGTTATATAAATGTAGCTCTACTTATTTGTATTGTTTTGTTTTAACATTTGATTTTTAATTTTATTGATAAAATAACTTAATTTGTTACACATATTATTAATTCAAATAAAAAAAATTACAAATAGACTGTTTACAAAATGCACGAACCAAATAACTCAACAACTTATCCAAAATAGGAACAAATTGATCATTTCTCCAAAATCAACTGTTCCCAAAATACAATCCAAATAGCCAAACATATTATCCCGATAAGCTGACCAACAGCTTGAATCACCTTCCTTCAAATGTCGAATGGTGGAATGTGCCTAATCATCTCCGTTTATCTCCATTTTTATTGCGATACAACATTCGGCAAAATTGGCTGCAGGCCGTGATCCCTTGCCCGTGCCTGCCCATTTGCTCCTCCTCGCTCTTCCCCTTCTTCAATTAATCCAAGTTTTTCTAATAATAGTGATCATTTGTTCATTCTCTTTCGATTCATGTGTTTATTGACTTCATTCTTTCCAATGTTAACCGCTGATATTTTGATTTCTGCAATCAAGTTGATTCATCCGATTGCTCTTTTGATTCTTACTATTAATTTGTTCATTGTTTCTACCATTCATCGTTCTCCTTCTTCGCCATGGAGAAACCAATCAACTTCTGCTCGCGCGCAGAGGAGCAATCTAGATTCTTACTGTCCTCATCCACGAAGCAGACGATTCCTATCTCAAAATTGGGTTTCTTCTACCTCCGCCTCCTTAGCGGTGGCACTGGCGAAAGACAACAACAGCAGCTGATATGCCTTAGGTCGGACCGCCTTTACACCATCGGACGGAAGAGAAGGCATTGCCAAATAGTATTCGATCACAGTTGTATTAGCCGGCGTCATTGTCAGATCTTCCTAGATGGTGTTGAAAGAAGTCTTAGATTGGTAGACGGGTTCTTTCTTTCCCGCGATTCTGATCTCCGAGAGATAAGGCGGAGGCTCCGGTCCGAATGCCAGGATTTAGGCTGTAGGGTTTCTCTGAATGGCATATTCGTAAATCGGAGAAAACTCCACGGAGGCGCAGTTGCAGAGTTGTCAGAGGGAGACGAGGTTGTATTTAGCTGTGGCAGATTAAGATCGGCCGCTCGTTGTGTGACGAAGTACGGGTTCGTGGTGGAGCGCATTATTCTCTCAGATTTTGCCGGAACCTTAGATGTTAGTGGACAATCCGTAACCAGAGCAGATCACCTTCAAAACCTATGCCAACGGATTCTAAGAAGCGGCGATCCTATAAGTTATATTCGCTGTTCTCTAGAGGTGAATGTTGGAACGATTAGCTCGGTACTTGGAGTTAGAGATTATGGCTCAGCTGCATCATTTCGGAATTTGGGTTCACAGGATCAGTCCAAACGGAATAATGAAACAGCTAATAATACTCCACACGTCACTGATGAAAATAATTTAGCAGTAAATGATGCCGAGAAAGCAGAAACTGGACCTTCCAGTCTACAGCGAGGAATGGACATTGGCGGCAGTTTGTCCAATGGCCAGACTTTCTTTTTGAATAGACTGAATTTTTTGGCTAATGACACTTCATATCAGCATACTGAAGTTACTTTAATGGAGCTTTTTGATCCTGTTGAAAGCCTTGTTCAAGTTTTTATTGCAACTTTTACTTGCGATGTTTCTTGGTAGGTGACCTACGATAGTTATTTGGATATATCACCTAAAGTGTGTTTTCTAAACGTTAGTGGGCCAAAGATGAGTTTTACAGGTTTCTGTCGTGCTGTCAAATACCCAAGCATCTACCCGTAACGATTGCTTTTCATAGTGCTGAAAAGTGCTGGAGTTCTAGCTGCCATGACAGGACAACAGCTCCTTTTTCAGACTATCCAAATTTATTGTTGGTGTAGGTATCCAGATTTATAGTGAAGTTCTTTACATTTACTAATATTGACCTTCATTTAAAGATTTTGATCAATCTTAATGTATAATCTATGATTAGTTCCGACTATTGCTGATTTTGATCCATTGTTTCTTCTATTCTTAGGTATCCTCTATTTCCTGATGAGATAGCATTTGGTAAAGACCGTAGTAAAAAAGGTGTGGCATGCCATCATCCTAAACTGATTGTTTTGCAGAGGGAAGACAGTGTTCGAGTCATTGTTACATCAGCTAACTTGGTTTCTAAACAGGTGGCTCCCTGTTTTATATAATTTTGAATTCTTTAATTTCATTTGAAGTTAATCTACACGGTTGATACGCTGATCTCTCAGTTTGAGCACCTTGCCTGGTGATATTCATTATTGTAACCTATTTTTCTGGGTCACGATCCCTTGTCATTGGTACGATTTTTGTTATGGTAATAATATTAAGATTTGGAACCAAGTTTGAACAAGCTGACGGAGAATTGAAGAAAGAAGAGTAAGTAAAACTTCAACTTATGCGTGATTTTTCAAGGTTTTGAATAACTAGTAGAAATATTAGCTTCGTTTAATGAACTATATTTAGCTGTGTCCATTATAATGGCCTCTCATGCACCCATCCGTAGCAAGCATTGGAAGTGTAAACTTGTCTTCTTTTTATCATTGTTTATCACGTGTGCATATGTACAAAAGAATAGAGTGAAAGCTATCTAAATTGAAATAGGAGATAGAATTCAAATGGCAAAAGTAGCCACTTAAATGCTCGAGTTGGATGTTTCATGGCTCGTGTTTAAATACAATATAAATCTGGAGGCTTTATGGTTCATATGACATTGAAATAATATATTATAACATGAAACAAAATTTTTGGGCTTTGTCTATGACGTATTAAGATTTTAAATGTAACTTGCACATAATTGTGATGGCAATGGATAATCCAATCCAATTGCAATCTACTATAAAGGCAAGTGATGACAATTCTTGAATTTTAAGGGTGAAAAATGTTGAACCCATGATCCCATCCGACTTTTGCCCGGCTCATTAGCTATTTGACGATAATGAATCTTGTTTAACATTATCTGATGGTTTTTTAAGTGTTACATATGCTACATATGTATTAGCTAAACCATGTCAATGACCTAATGATGTTTTTTTTCTAGGCTTGCTTGAAATTCTTGCATTTTGCAGCTTAAAGATGAACTCAAGGTGGTGGATCAATACACTTTAAATGAGTAAATGAAGGTTCCAAAATGTGTGTTTATGTACTTGAATGTTTGATGGAGAATGATTTATCCTAAATCATCTCAATGACGATAAAAATGATAGTTAAAATATAAAAGGATTATTTATAATACAGTATTTGCTAATTGCACCAGGAATCTTATTATAAAATATTTTCAAGTATTGGGGCTTTATTAGCACGCTGTTATACAAATAAGTTCTGATTAATTTGACATAGAATACTTTGCTTTCTTTGCAGTCAGCTCTACTATAAGTTGAAATAATTATTTTTAAGGGGCATTAACTTACAAGCAAGACAATTTTTATGTATTTACATATCTAACACCTAAACTAAGTAGTTAGCTTGAGCTTGGCTTGACAAGTGGCTCGTGAATTGAGCTCGGTGAGCTACCAAACCTAGCTTAAGCTAGACTCGACTCGACTCGTTAGCTCGTGAGCCGGCTCCTTTG